AACATGAGTGAAACTCCGTCTCAAAAAAAAAAAAAAAAAAAAAAAAAAAAAAAAAAAGAGGCTTTAAAGATTATGAGTGTAGGTTCTGTGGCCACACTGCCTTGGTGTTCTAGCTCTGACACCAGTTTCTACATCTGTAAATGGGTTGTTGCAAGGATTAAACACGTTAACACATATACTATTATCATTTTTAATGACAATAACATGGAATCCTCCCTGAAGGCATTTTTTTTTGTTTGTTTTTGTTTTTGTTTTGAGTTGGAGTCTCACTCTGTCACCCAGGCTGGAGTGCAAGGTGCAATCTCGGCTCACTGCAACCTCCGCCTCCCAGGTTCAAGCAATTCGCCTATCTCAGCCTCCTGAGTAGCTAGGATTACAGGTGTGTGCCACCATGCCCGGCTGTATTTTTAGTAGAGACGGGGTTTTACCATGGGCCGGGCTGGTCTTGAACTCCTGACCTTGTGATCCACTATCCCTCATGATCCAGCCTCCCAAAGTGCTGGGATTAAGGGCATGAGCCACCCCACCTGGCCTCAAAGGCATTTTAGGGGCTATAAAAATACTGCTGTTATCTAGCCTGACTGCTCTCATTCTTGTTTCCCAAATGCCAAGACCTGCCTCAGACTTTTTTCCTTGCCAGATCATCTTTCCAGAAACTTCTTCCCAGTTTTGTGCATGGCAGACCTAGTGTCTCATCCTTGAGCTTTGGGCTCAGATGTTGCTTCCTTAGGGGAATCTTTCAAAAGCCGCCCCCAACCCCCAACCCCTAGTGTCTCCATCACATTCCCCTTGTTTATTCTCTTCATGGACCTGATTATCCTCTAAAGTCATCTTAGTTGCTTCTCTACTTGTTAAATGTTTGTTTTCTTAAAAATGTTACTTCCTAAACATTTGTCGTCTTAAGCTCCATGGGGGCAGGGCCTTGTGGTCTTGTTTACCATGTCACCTAAAAGCTTAGGGCAGCTATTCCCAAAGTATAGTTCATGGACCCCCAAAAAGGTCTCATGAGGTCAGAGCTCTCATAATAATACTAAGACTTTACTTTTTTTTTTTTTGCACTTTTTTGAACTTTGCATGATGGCACAAAAGCAACGGTGGGTAAAACTCTTGTTGCCTTAGCACAGATCAAAGCCGTGGCACCAGCTGTATTAGCAGTCATTGTTCATCACTACGTACTCAACGGTTTAAAAAGCCAGTTTTTCTTAAAATTCACTGAAGAATGTCCTTGAAGAAGCAGTCACAGTTATTAGTTTTATTTAGTCCTGCCCCTTGAGTGCACATCCATTTAGTATTCTATATGATGAAATGGAAAGCACATATAATCACTTCCATACACCAAAGTATATCTTGAGCTAACATTGGTTATCTCAAGAATAACCTTTCTAGAGATTGAATTCTGTGCTGCACTACACTGCTTTTTTCACGGGACACCATTTTTACTTGAACAACAGTAAACTAGTGGACAAGAGCACAGAATTAAAGATTTGGATATGAGAATTATCACCTTAAGAGATGATGAAGATGATGGCAAAATTTTTGCAACACTGTTTTACCCACTGGGGACAGACAAGTGTTTTGCTCCCACAGAGCTACTAAGAGGATAAAGAAAGAATAGAGGTCAGAATCATGGTGTGTTGAATATTTGAAGTTGAGCAGCTAGGAGGAAAAAAGGTAAGAAGGCAACAACAACTTTAGAAAACACACTAATGGGCTGAGCATGGCGGCTCACACCTGTAATCTCAGCACTTTAGAAGGCGGAGGCAGGTGGATCACGAGGTCAGGAGATCGAGACCATCCTAGCTAACATGGTGAAACCCCATCTCTATTAAAAATACAAAAAATTAGCCGGGCGCAGTGGCTCAAGCCTGTAATCCCAGCACTTTGGGAGGCCAAGGCGGGTGGATCACGAGGTCAAGAGATCGAGACCATCCTGGTCAA